ATAATACAATTTAAAATCTCTTATCAAAAAAAGCTATTATAGAATATTATAATATAATTTATATAAAAAATTAAGAGTTATTATCGCATAAGGTTTACAAGTAAAATATGTTTATTTTTATAATAACTTATAAAAATACCATTAATATTGATTTATTTAAATTAAATTTTTATTTAAATATAACTTAACCATTAAGATTGATAAAAATAAATATAAATTTTTAAATTTAGATTATTAAACCTTCAAAATAAAAAATTAAAAAATTGAGTCCTCCACTTTACTGATAAGTCTTCGCGTTTTGGATGGAGCCGAGGAGACCGACAAATGGTAAGATAATGCTTCGACATTAGATAATTTATCATTTAATTTAATGACTGTAAAAAAGGTCACGGTCAAGATTGTGATTGCAAGATATATTTGCAACTCTTGCATGTTTAAATGAGCTCAAAATATATTAGTTCATCAATTTTTTTAGTAATTTGCTGAAATACTTCTGATTATAAGTGTTGGGTGTTAGAAGATTCACATCAGTAGAATAATAATAGTATTATGGCGTTGGATGAAAATCAATTATACACACAGATGAAAGATTAGTAAGTAGGATGAGACACATCGATTTTGTACGTGAAAAACCCTGGAGAAGAAAAAGGTCACAGGGACAAACCCAGATGAAAGAATTCACCATGTAATTATAATTATATATGCCCATTCTCCTATCGAATTAGAGAAAATAGAATTACAATATTAATGTATAACAATAGTTTATCAATATAGTTGTAACGGGTCGTAAGGATAGTAGTCGATTGATATAAAGGCAATAGCTTGTCGTGAATATTGTAAATTGTGGTTGTAGCGTCAGCTTGTCATAAAAGTCGTGGGTGAAAGTTCCGATAGTAGTTGTATGAGCTGTGAGCTACATAGGTTATACTTTTGTCACACAGGTCATAGTGATGAATTGTAATAACGTTCGTAGGCCATAGAAGCTGGAGTTGGGAAGTGCATGAGCTGTGGACCAGATATGTCGTAGTTGGTCACATATGCTAGAGTTGTTAGAGTTGGGAGCTGGATAAGCCGTAGATCATGTATGTCATAGTTGATCGCGTAGGTGTGTAGTGGTGAGCCACAATAATTTCAGTAGACTATTGAGCCAAAGTTATAAGCTGGATGAGTTATGGACCATATATATTGTAGTTGGTCACGTAGAACACAGTAGTGAGTATGCCACATGTAATAGAGGCTGAAAGGTGGGAGCTGCATGGGTTGTAGATCATGTAGGGCATAATTGGTCACATAGATTGTATGGAGATATGCGAGAAGTTAACTTCAGAAGTCTGTCGAAAATCACCATATTATGAGTGGACTGATTGTAAGTACTTATTGCACGAAGTTATCATCAAATCCTTGATATGTCGTTGTTCATGATTCCGTACTAGGACTAGGTGTTACACCTTATGAGGGTGAGTTGTTACGACGTCTTCAGAATGTGTTATTTCATTGTATTCGAGGTATGCTGGAACAATGTCGTTGGAGTGCAACATTGCATAATGTTTAGAGTGCGTCGTTACACCATCTTCAGTGTGCATCGTAACACAATGTTCAAGACAATGCACTACTTCGTAGGGTGCTTTGTTACTCCACGATGTTTGTCGTTACTATGAAATTTTTTTTGCAACAAAAAAGAGCAAGGCCAACGACATTCGATAGTGATCGGTGTGCGGTTGTTGACGTTATTTAGCAACTAAAAGAGCGGGAACACTCGACAGATCTTCGATCCAGAATAACACTAGAATTTAACTCATCTCGATCTAACTTTAGCTCTTCTCATTGATTCTCTCCGATGTCTCTCTCCTTTCAAGAAGGGAGTGAGACTCTATTTATAAAGTCAGGGAGTGACCTCCTTTACAAATAAGGAATTAATCTGATTCACTCCATCAGATGGCCAGAGAAATTTCCTCAATTGAATGACATTTAATAGAAATTTAAATGCCTTAACCTTGTCAAAATTGAGTGTTCTTAGGATCGTTACATTTTTCTTGTCGAAACACTCGGTTTGACTATAGACTTTTCATATTTGGAATCCATTTGAACTTTCAATTTACCACCAAAAACTTACAAAAGTTGTTTAAACGACTTGATCCAGACTTCATTTGACTCCAATCAAACCAATTTCTTGTCAATGTGTTTGTCTTGTCGAGCCGGTTAGTTGGACTATAAGTTTGTTGAAATCAGAGTTCTGAATGACTTCTAATTTGTGTTTGATGTTTCATTGCACAAAAAATTTCTTGATATTTATGTCATGCACTGAGATTTGTGCCCACGATAACAATGTGTTGAAGATGTATCCATACAAAAATTTAATATCTTATTATCACACAGAAGTCAAGTATGGCACATTAATATCAATACTTCAAGAAAAAAAAAAAAAAAAAAAGGATTTTAGAAAATTTAAATGATTTTCCTCATATGAATTGTAGATTATAAATAATTATTTATTCTCTTAATTAAAAAGGTTCTGATACCATGCATTTAACTTTCATAATGTGAATAAGATTAGCATTTGATGATTAGGGCAGACAAGTATTGATTTTTTAGCGACAATGAATAATTATTTTTTTGCATTAAGGCCATAAAAAAATACCCAGCATTATCGAACAGGCTTTCACTGCAAAAAAAAATGTTTTATTAAAGCAGAAAATTATAGTGGCAATATTAAAATAATTTTCATAGAGTTACCATATGGAAGCGCTATAAAACACCATTCTACATATCTTCCTTAAATCAATCCAAATCTCATATTTCACATCTTGCTGAATTCCAACTCTCACCTTTTAGCCTTAGCCGTTTCGCACTTGTCTGATCTCATCCCATGGGTGAACCCTCATTGGACGACATCTCGTCATATTTGGGCGGCCTTTGGCAGCATCACGGATTTACGTTAAATAGGATTTAGTATAATCCATTTTGACGTAGAAAAGCTTCGAAGCCCCCAAATAATAATCTCGTAAATTCACCTGCCACCCGGAATTAATAAATTCAAATTTATGTCAGGAAGAAGATGAAACGCCAGGAAAAACAGACACAACGTGAGAAAATTCGGTTTAACGGAATGTTGGATTTAAGGTTCAGTTTTGTAGTGTTTGGTTGGATTTAAGCTAAATCCATCTTATTAATAGGCTACCAAACACCGTCTTATAGTTTCGCCCCTCGTAATTCCCGATCCGCTTTCAGTTCTCCTTTGATTTATTGTAACAATTATAAAAAAATTATTTTTTGCATCCCATCATAGGCTTCTTCCTCTCATCGATCTTCTTGAAAGTGCCAGGAAGCCCAGTAAGTGTTCTTGGGTAACTCTAATGGTTATGAAATTTTTTTTTATAAATATTTGATAATATTAATCAGTTTAATGGAAGATATGAAATGCCCATACTTTAATTGTTTATCTCAATATTTTCCATTCTTGCTTTCATTTTCTGTCTGGGCGAACTTAACTGTGTTGGCCCAAGTGATTGTAACTGTTGCTTTAGGTGAGGGTCTGCTACAACCATTTTTAAGGTCTTTGTTGTGCAAAGCAATCATAGACGAATGTCCGATGGTTTGAAACCGCTGCTATAGTTTTTGTGGCTATTTAAACCACAACTGCAGGGTTCTCAAACATACGATAATTTGAATACATATGTATGCAGACAAGTATTAAGTTTATAATATAATATTCAAAATAATAACAACTATCAAATCTCTTGACGCATGTCAAACGAAGTCCGATTTAGACATGAACGGGCTTATTTAAACTTGATAAACAGAAAGAAGATGTGAATATATACTTGATTACTTCATTCGTTAGCCATCACTTTGTAGAGTGGAGTAGAATATGTAGAGGAGGAAGAGTCTTCTAGAATGGCACGATACCCATACAAGAGTATCATACGGTTAGGATATGAAATCATAACAGTTGGAGACCACTGGTAGTGGTGGTAGAGCTGATACCCTCATGCAAGCTGTCAGTTTGATACGAATGTCACATAATTGACATTTCTGTTAGGAGTTATGATAGGAAATAATTTATTCTTATAAATAAATCATTTCCTTAAAATTAGAGTTAAATAAATTATTTCCTTAGAATTAATGATATATTTATTTTCCTATTTTACGTTATTTCCTATATCTCCTAATAATTAATACGAATTAATTATTAGAGATATTAAGTGTTATACCCTTCCTTTCATATCATTTACCTTTTATTATTTTTCCTTTTACAAGATTATTGTAAGGGTTATTTATAATCCCGTTCATATTAATGAAAAGGTGTGTATTCCACCACATTATTCTGAGTTTTAACAATTTCGAGAGAGCATTTATTAGTATGTCTGCTGGTTGATTTTTTGATTGATTATATTACAATTTTACTGTGAAAAATCTCATTTATCTTCTTTCTAAGCCAAAACATATGGCAGACGAAACTCAAAATTCAGCAAAACCTGAATCTAGCAAATTCAATAATCCGAACGACCCATTTTTTCTCCACTACTCAGATCAACCCGGTCTCCTGCTTGTTACGTAGCCGCTGAATGGAGAAAACTACAATTCCTGGAGTCGTGCCATGTTGATGGCTCTCAACATAAAAAATAAAGAAGGTTTTGTCAACGGCACCCTCCAAGAACCA